CCCAGTTTGAGCACTTTCTTCAAAAGAAACCCATTTTGGTGTCAATGGAAAAGTTGTAGAGAATGAAATTAACACCAAAATGGGTTTCTTTTGAAGAAAGTCCTCAAACTGTCACATATGACAATAGCCGGTGGTTTTCAATTCACCAACCCAATAGTTAAGGCAGAAAGGATTTTTAGATTTCTACGGTTCCAATACGGATCCAATACGATTCCTATTTTGTTCTATTATGGTTCCAATACGGTTCCAATACGGTTCCGATTTTGTTCTATTACGGTTCCAATACAGTTCCAATACGGTTCCAATACAGTTCCAATACAGTTCCAATACAGTTCCAATACGGTTCCAATACAGTTCCAATACAGTTCCAATACAGTTCCAATACAGTTCCAATACGGTTCCAATACAGTTCCAATACGGTTCCAATACGGTTCCAATACGGTTCCAATACGGTTCCAATACGGTTCCAATACAGTTCCAATACGGTTCCAATACAGTTCCAATACGATTTCTGTCTCTGATTGTAAAACTCGAAATTCCAGGATCATTTGCCGCAAATTATGGAAATTATTTCCAAATTTTTGTCACTATTTCAACGGGAATTGTAAGTGTAACTTTTCCTGAGAATTTCTGAGAATTTCTGAGATTTCTGAGAAATTTTAACTTTCCAGGTGACTTTCGTCGTGTCATTAGTCAACGATCGACGACGACGAACACTCCATTTCAGCGGCTACACGCTCAGCAAGAGATTTCAGCTAACTGCTAATGTCAAAGCGATAAAGGTCAGATTTTGAATCAATAATCAATAATGTTTGTTTTTTGGTTCATTTACTCAATCGAATAGCAAAATTTGACTGTCCTGAATTTTCGTTTTTGCTTCATGAAACAAGCTCAAGTTTCAAGTGATCGTAAAAGCTCTTGGTTGCGATCAGAAACCAAAGCTTGACTTAGGCTTAACTTCGGTTTATTTGTATTGCCTGTGTGTTCCAGGATTGCCAAAAGTCGATTCAAAATCTATCTAGCTACTCACTAAAAGCAGCAACGAGACACCATCCCGTTTCCCCAAAACCAAATTCTCTAAATCTCATTCTAGAGCCATTTTTATTCACGAAATCTTTCTAGTGACTTCCAATTAGTACAAATATTGAATGAAATCTCGGAGTTGTTACAATGAATCAGCAAAAAAAAATAGGGGGAAGATCATGGATTTCTCGATCCCGCCGAAAGGCCGATTTCGGGCAGCCGATCAGAAACCAAAGCTTGACTTAGGCTTAGCTTCGGTTTATTCGTATTGCCTATGCGTTCCAGGACTGCCAAAAGTCGATTCAAAATCTATCTAGCTACTCACTAAAGGCAGCAACGAGACACCATCCCATCTCCTCAAAACCAAATTCTCGAAATCTCATTCTAGAGGCATTTTTATTCACGAAATCTTCCTAGTGCTTTCCAATTAGTACAAATATTGAATGAAATCTTGGAGTTGTTGCGATGAATCAGCAAAAAATGGGGGATAAAGTTTGGAAGTTTTGATTTAAAATAATTCAAAGATCTTAAAGGAAAAACATTTCAGATAATGATCATTTACATTCTTCAAACTTCTTTAAATGATCTTTGCTTGGCTGCATTGTGTTTATTGCATTTCTCGAGTCTTTCTCCATTCGATCGAAATATTTACGGGATTTTGATCAATTTACAATTGGCTTTGTAAGAAATTTGAAGAGAAATTTCTGAAATTTCAATTTCAATTTCTCAATTTCAATCCAATTTCAAATTTCAGGCAACCTTTTATTTACAATTGTATCGCTTTATTTGGAAACCATCAAAGCCGAGAGATGTCGATAAGAATTTTCCAGAAAATTATTCACTCAATTCGGTAGAGAATTTGAATTTGAAAATCTTTTCTTTTCTTTTATCAAATTTGTATTGCCTATGCGTTCCAGAATTGCCAAAAATCGCTTCAAAATCTATCTAGCTACTCACTAAAGGCAGCAACGAGACACCATCCCATTTCCTCAAAACCAAATTCTCGAAATCACATTCTAGAGCCATTTTTATTCACGAAATCTTTCTAGTGACTTCCAATTAGTACAAATATTGAATGAAATCTTGGATTTGTTGCAATGAATCAGCAGAAATATAGGGGGAAGGTCATGCGATGAAAGGTCGATTTCGGGCATCCGATCAGAAACCAAAGCTTGACTTAGGCTTAGCTTCGGTTTATTTGTATTTCCTGTGCCTTCCAGAGATTGCCAAAAATCGCTTCAAAATCTATTTATTAGGTTGATGCATGGAGTCTTTTCGTTTTTTTCGTACTTCTGTTAAAAAGTAACAAATTCACCAATTAATCTATAGTTTGCTCTATAAAAAAAAAGTGTTTTTTTGTTCAATTTGCATCTTTTTAAATCAATTTCGGTTCACTTTCAAGCAAATTCGAGAGTGAAAAACGTTTCTCAGTACAGGACTAAGAGAAACAAACGCCTTTTTCGTAAAAATCTATAAAAAACTCTACGGAAAAATTGGCTGAATGAATTTCTCTGAAAATTTGGCGAAATATCAAACGTTTTTTTTTCTCTATCTTTTATCTATTGACACGAAGATAGGTTTTCTTTAGCTAAGGTGTCTAAACCGCATCATCGAGTTAGCCCTTTTTGACTACCCGACTTGATACTCTCAAGAAAATCCAGGCATTAAATCTTTTTAAACCCGTTTTAATGTTATTTTGCAGAAAAATAATTGCTTTTTCTAATGAAATCAACCGTAGTTTAATTGGTGCATTTGTTGGCTTGAAACGGCTGACGAAAAGGAACAAAAACACTTATGCATCAACCTAATAGCTATCACTAAAAGCAGCAACGAGGCACGAGTCCGTTTCCCCCAAAAATTCTATTCATTTTTTTGATTCTAATTCTATTAGAATTCAAAAAAGAATCAAAAAATGAATGAATTTAATCAAAAAAATAGAAAATTGGATAGAAAGATGTAAAGAAAAGATTTTATCAAATAGATTACGATAAAGCGACAATCAAAAATTTCTAGACTTCATCCGCAAAAAGAAATCTCTTCGAAACGGCAATCGGTGATCGACGTTCATGGGAAAGTTCGTGCTATTTACAGGGTGATCAAGAATTACCGCAACAATTATTATGTTATGGGGCTTATTTCACTTTTTGCTTAGGGTCTGGTAGAGTCAGAGTTCGGCCTTGTAGTCGGTCTGGTAGAGTTAGAGTTCAGCCTTGTAGTCGGCCTGGTAGAGTTAGAGTTCGGCCTTGTAGTCGGTCTGGTAGAGCCAGAGTTCGGCCTTGTAGTCGGTCTGGTAGAGTTAGAGTTCGGCCTTGTAGTCGGTCTGGTAGAGTTAGAGTTCGGCCTTGTAGTCGGTCTGGTAGAGCCAGAGTTCGGCCTTGTAGTCGGTCTGGTAGAGTTAGAGTTCGGCCTTGTAGTCGGTCTGGTAGAGCCAGAGTTCGGCCTTGTAGTCAGTCCTGTAGAGTTAGAGTTCGGCCTTGTAGTCGGTCTTGTAGCCAGTCTTGTAGAGTCAGAGTTCTATTATTTCAAAAGCCTGGACCAGATCTGGACTTGACTAAGGCCTGGCTATGGCCTGGCTATGACTTTTTTAAAAAGCTTAAACTATTTTAAACTAGTCTTAAGCCTAACTAGGTAACTATTTCAACTTACCATCGATTTTCAAAACCGGACTTCGTCAGCGTGGTTTATTGGTAGAGCGTTGGGTCAGTAGGCGACGGTTCCGGAGCTCAGTGGGTTCGAGTCCCGGCGGTGATAATTTTTTGGATTTTTGGATCTCAGCCTAAACCGATAAAAAACCGATGTCATTCGCTAGACAATGTTGTCGTTTAGGTGATGTACACAGGTGCCAACCAGGACGACTATTTCGATCAACTCAAAGCACAATGGTGATCGGAGGATTTAAAAGGAGATCTTCGAGATAAAGCTGTTTATTTGTTTGTTTGTTTGTCTGTTTGTTTGTCTGTTTGTTTGTCTGTTTGTTTGTTTGTCCGTTTGTTTGTTTGCTTGTTTGTCTGTCTGTTTGTTTGTTTGTTTGTCCGTTTCTTTGTCTGTATGTTTCTTTGTTTCTTTGATTGCTTGTCTGTCTGCTTGTCTGTCTGTCTGCTTGTCTGTCTGTTTCTTTGTCTGTCTGTTTGTCTGTTCGTTTGCTTGTTTCTTTGTTTCTTTGCTTGCTTGTCTGTTTGCCTGTTTCTTTATTTATTTATTTATTTATTCATTCATTCATTCATTCAAATTGTTCTTTATTTTAAAAAATCTATCAAAAATATAAGCTAAACACGCAAAAAAAAAATGGAATGTATTGTTGGATTTTCACGGAAAATCACAAAAATCTCAAAAATTCACAAAATAGGGCAAGCGCTCTACCCAAAATCACATCGAAAATCAAAAGCAAAACATTGAAAGCAAATATTCTAAGTCCCTAATTGTAAGCAGAAGAATGGGGTACTGTCGTTTCAAATGGCCCTCTAAATTTAGGCTTAGAATAACTTTTTGAAGTTTTAAACAAAAAATTCTGAAGTTCTGGATAGCACAGAGAGTTTTGAAAGAAAAATTTCGGTTTTTGAATAATTTAAAAAATTTATTGGGTACTGTAGTTTTAGTTTGCTCAAAATTTTTGGTCTTAGAATAACTTTTTGAAGTTTTAAACAAAAAATTCTTAAATTATGGATAGCACAGAGAGATTCTAAAAGGGAAATTTTTCGTTTTTTGAATAATTAAAATTTACTGGGTACTGTAGTTTTAGTTGGCCCAAAATTTTTCGTCTTAAAATAACTTTTTGAAGTTTTAAACAAAAAATTCTGAAATTCTGGATAGCACAGCGTAGTTCTAAATGAAAATCCCTAAAATTTTTAATAATTTTAAAATTTTAAAAATATATGATTTGGGCAGTTATTGGAATTTTGTAAAAGCTCAGTTTTCTTTGAATTTTTCAAAATATTCAGCTAAGGTGATGTCCAGATTGGCGAAAAAAAGCAAAATCACAAAACGCCGAGCTGTCGGAGCTCTTGGATTTGCTTCTCGAGCTGCTCCTCGTTTTGCGTCAACCGCCGTCGGTGCTCGCCCCGGAGCGTTCCGTAGCTGAAAATTGGAAATTTTCGCAGAGTCTTTCAAGCTGGATGTCATGCTATTGGATTAGTGTATGAAAACGGCATTTTAGATATTTTTGGAATAGAATGAATGATAGCTGAGGGTTTTTCTGGGTTACTGTAGCTAAAGTTAGCGTAAATTTTGAATGATTCTTTCAATTTGGATGTCACTCTATTGGATTACCGTATAAGAACAGCATTTTAGATATTATTGAAATCGAATATAGGATGAATGATAGCTGAGGGTTTTTCTGGGTTACTGTAACTAAAGTTAGCAAATATTTCTAAAGATTCTTTCAATCTGGATGTCACGCTATTGGATTACGGTATAAAAACGGGATTTTAGATATTTTTGGAATAGAGTATAAGATGAATGATAGCTGAGGGTTTTTCTGGGTTATTGTAGCTAAAGTTAGCGAATATTTCTAAAGAATCTTTCAATCTGGATGTCACACTATTGGATTACGATCAAACACAACACATTTCACGACAAGAAACGATCACGTCCATAGGACTCACGCGGAATTCGAAACTCGTCGAAATAAATGTACTTGATGCCCTTTTCAGGGACGAAGCCACAAAAGTTGCTAAATTCGAGCCGTAACTAGGAAAATACGTAACATATGTAAATTTTTATATGCAAATTTGGATAAATCCTCTTAAAAATGCAGCAATTAAAGCCATCTTTGGCTTTTGATTTCAGCCATTCGAGTTCAAGCTATTTAAGCGACTCTGCGTAAAGATATTCAGTTAAATTTTCGATTTTTACGTGATCTGGAGCGCACACGAATAGTCGAGTCAATTAGTTTTTGCGAAAATCCAAATTTTGGTTAGTGGGGGGGGATCGAACCGGCGAGCTTTCTCACACCAAACTAACGCCTAACAGCAAAAATTTTAGCGAATTCGTGCAAGCTGGAGCTCACCCTTGTGCTCAATAATCGTAAACCCTTCTCAATTGCCTGAATTCAAATTTTCGTTAGCTGAATCTTTGCTGAAAAGAAAAAAAAGAAATTTGCATACATAGCATCCTCGGATTTCGCTCGAATATCTCGCGTTTTTTTCAGCTGCCCTCGTTTCTCTTGATACAAACGGCTCCAAATCGTCGAGTCTTTCTAAATCGTGGAAATTTGGAAGGGATTACGGTAGATGAATTGGCGCTACAGTAAGCCGAATGAGACCAAGGCCGTTTTCTGGAAATTTCTTTATCTTTTCAAAATTTTCTACCAAATTTCGATCAAACTGGAATGCACACTAGGTTTTAAATGCAAATTCGCTTCCTAAAACAGACTATAGTAAAGTGCTACAGTAAGCCGAATGAGACTAAGGCTATATTTTCAAAATTTCTTTGTCTTCTCGAAATTTTCTACTAAATTTCCATCAATCTGGAATGCACACTGGGTTTTAAATGCAAATTCGCTTCTTAAAACAGACTAAATGCAAAGTGCTACAGTAAGCCGAATGAGACCAAGGTTGTTTTCTCGAAATTTCTTTGTCTTTTCAAAATTTTCTACCAATTTTCCATCAATCTGGAATGCACACTGGGTTTTAAATGCAAATTCGCTTCTTAAAAAAGAAAAAAAAAAAAAGAGAAAGAAAGGAGAAAGAGAAAAAGGATATTTTTAAAAAAATTTTTTTTTTTTTAAAAAAATTTTTTAAAAATCAAAAAATAAAAAAAAAAAAGGGGGTAAAAAAAAAAAAAAAAAAAAAAAAAAAAAAAAAAAAAAAAAAAAAAAAAAAACAAATTTGAAACGCAAATCCACTTACATCCATCGTATTGCTTCGATTCAGTGATGTGGAGGGCACTCGGGGAAGTTTTCTTTCTGAAAGTTTCTCTTTTTCTCATTGCCAAGTGTGACATCCAGGATTGCCAAATACGATTTAAAATCCCGCAAAAGCTCATCAAAAAACCCACCAATGATGATGGACTTGTCGCTGTCTCGTCGCGGTATCCGCGAGACGCGCACCTCCGCGAAATCGGGCGCCCGCGCGGTGGGTGGGGGCTAGAATTTGAATGGAAATAGATTAAATGCAGATTTAAATCCTAATTTAAATAAAAATCTCAATTTTACCGTTTAACTGAATATTTTTAAACGTTTGATGTACAGCAAAAAACGAAATTTTTAAAAACCAATTTTTCCGCTTTTTCTCTTGCTTGTTTTATGCTGTGCGTTCCAGATCACGGAAAAAAAACTTACAATTCGACTGGGTGGCCGCGCAGATTGCGGGGTTTTCATGGGGATCGCACTTCGACGTGTGGTTGGGGGAGAGGACGCGCTTCGACCAATCGCTGGGGACATTGATGGAGAGGGCGGCTGAAATTTGCTTTGGGAAAAGATTTGCGAAGTTTTGCTAAGTAGTTTGCTAAGCATTCACAGACCTTATCACAAAGTCGTTTGACTTTCGGGGGTAGGACGATGCATGGCTGTGGTTGGGGTGGGGTTGGGCTGACGGCGATGCCGAATGATTGAGGGGGGAGGAGGGTCTGCAAATTCGTTGAAATCGTTGAATTGGTTGAAATTGATTGAAATTGATAGAAATATAGGGGGAAATTGGCTACAAAATGGCCATCAATTATTGCCTTAGAGTTTTTCGGCTCAGGCTCAGGCTTAGGCTCAGGCTCAGGCTCAGGCTCAGGCTCAGGCTCAGGCTCAGGCTCAGGCTCAGGCTTAGGCTTAGGCTTAGGCCCAGGCTCAGGCCCAGGCTTAGGCTCAGGCTTAGGCCCAGGCCCAGGCCCAGGCCCAGGCTCAGGCTTAGGCTTAGGCTCAGGCTTAGGCTCAGGCTCAGGCTCAGGCTCAACCTTAAGCTCAGGCCCAGGCACAGGCTCTGGTGCGTGAAAGAGATAATCGGCTTTTTGAAACTTAACTTTTAAAAGCTACAACAATTAGCTACAAGTGCTACAATAACGTTTTTCTACAACAACAACCTACTTTTGTTAAGAGTCTTTTTAAAAATCGATTTAAACCCGATCGCAACGTTAAGAAGCAAATAAAGCCAATAGATTTGATTTTCCAATAAACTTCCCAGCTTCACCTCTAAATGATCGGAGATCTTCTCATCGTCTGTGGTCGACGAAAGACTTTCACCCATCGATCGACCATCTTCTTTATTCTCCTAAAATCAAAAAACTCCTAATTTGATCATTTTCTTGGCTTTATGTTCCTAGAAAAAGGCCAGTTTAGCTTAGCTACCGAAATCGAACTCCTTTTCACCCAATTCACAGCGCAAAACTTTTTCTCATCAAGCATTTCGGAAACTATGGATGTCACTACAGCTAAAAATCTATTTTAGAAATCAATTGGTTGAAGAAGTTCGCGACCGGAATCGAACCCGGGTCGTGTGACTGCCAGCCCAGCTCGCTAGCCACTCGGCCAAAAGTGAACTTGTAGCTTTTGATCTCAAAATTTTTCTAGCCGCCTAGTGCTTTCCAGGATCCACCCTGGATTGATTATTAGCCTAAATAGGTCATAGATAAGGCTAGATAAGGCCAGGATCAGAAAAAAAGGCCAAGAATTTGGGGGTCTATCAGCTGAATTCCTGACTGAAAAGAGAAATCTAACGAATTCTATCGAGATCTTTAGATCATTAGGCCTCACCTCATTCAATTGTTCGGCTGGGATCGACGACACATCCGAGTTCGACGAATAGTCCGATGATGACATCTTCGAGTGCAACTTTTGCGAGTCTAAACACATTCTGGTACAATTATTTTTTCGATTTTGGCTATTCTGGAGTGCACACGCGTTTTTAAAACCAAAAAATTGACCTTGTTGTTCATCAATTATTTTTTCAGAAATCGACTGACTTTCGAATTTCAAGATCTCCTCTGGTTCTCTAAAAAAACATTCGTTTTTGAGAGATTCCAATTCAAAAGCTATTTACTTGATTGATTCCATTGAATGATAGATTTGTTCTTTGAATTCATCCCTTTTTTGTTGTGGTGATTGGGGAAGGGCGAAGCGTTGCGTCGTCGACTCTGACTCGACCCGAATTGGCGGGGAAACACTAAGAAAATCGGTTTTCTATTTGATGGGATTTTCAAGCTGGAACGCACACTACAAGTTCTGCGCATTTTTTTAGTTTATTCACCAAGTTGGATTGAATTGAATTCGCTGGCGGAGGGAGTTGCTCCGGAAAAGTGGATGAAGTCGGGGAGCGGCTGAAAATTGAAATAAAAGGGTGATTAGAAAAGAAATTGAATAGAAATTGAATAGGAATTGAATTAAGAGATATCTGGAGCTTTCGAAGTTCTTTTAAAACCCACGCGAATCAGCAGAAAGCGACTCCGAACCGCTGCCCACCACTTTCCGCTCCAACTCGAGTTTCACCTGTTTTTAAAAAAATAACAATTTCATTTGCAAGTGTGACATCCAGAATGAGCTTTAAACTTTTAAAAAAAATGATTTACTTTATATGGAGAAGCATAGGAGAGGAGAGTGATCGCGTCGGTGAAAACCATCTCGTCAAAAGAGATCCACAAGCCGCGAATGCGATCACCTAGAAGGATGCTCTTAGTCAGCGATGTTCTAATTGAAATAGATCAGATCCAGGCGCCAGGAAACTTATTTTGGTCTTGACAAGGATTGTAGGAAGCCCCGCCCCTTTTCCCATTAGCAATCCCATTAGCAAACTTTGAGGTCAAATTTCTCGGTGTTGGGTTGTCCAATTTATAAATTTTTGGTATCATTAGATGCGCCAAGTCTTTTTCTATCGATTGATATAAAAACTATTGAAATTGGATAGCCCAAAGCCAAGAAATTTGAGCTAAAAGCTAGGTGGGAAAAGGGGCGGGGCCTCGCGTATAAAAGGTCGCCCCACGCCTTTCCCATTGACAATTCAACTTTGATTTCTGGATGGATTTCTTGGATGGCTTAACACCAAGAAATTTGAGCTTAAAGTCAAAGTGTCAATCACAAAAGTGGGCGGGGCCTCGCGTATAAAAGATTCGCCTCGCCATTGACAATCCAACTTTGAGCTTAAATTTCTCGGTGTTGGGTTTTTCAATGTAAATAGTTTTTATACGAATCGATAAAGAAAGACTTGGCGCATCTAATTATATCAAAAATATTCAAATTAAACAGCTCAACGCCAAGAAATTTGAATTCAAAGTTAGCTACTTGGAAAAGGGGCGGGGCTTTGAGAGCTTATATACGTTTTGAGAGCTCCTTAAAGAACCGCTGAACCAATTAGTCTGAAAATTTAACTATTATAGCTTAAATTTCTTTCTTTCTTCTTTCTTCTTCCTTCTTTCTTCTTTCTTTCCTCTTTCTTTCTTCTTTCTTTCTTCTTTCTTCTTTCTTCTTTCTTTCTCCCTATAAAAACAAATGCTTTAAAAGAGCTTTAACGCGTCCAGCTCAAACTGGTGTTTGATAAGCATTGACGAGTAGATTCAAATAAATTTTAAGATCACTAGTATAAGCACACAGCCCAGAATCAACCCAAAAGCTTTCTTACCAGCAAAAACATTCTGCGACTCTTGCGCTGGCCCTTGTGGTAACACATCTCTTATGTAAATCCCTTCACTCATTGATCCGCGCACAGAGAAACCCAAACCAGATAAATCTTTTGATTTCAATGCCACGGCTGCAAGAGCATCCACCTGAAAAAAGGTTTTAATTAGATTTAGATTTTAAAGGTCAGAGATTAGAATTTAAAGGTTTTTTAAAATATTAAGCACATTCCAATCAATCAATTCCAAAAGAACAATAAAATAGATTGGGGGTAGCGTCGAGAAAGAAAGTCCATTAGACCGAAAGTCACGACATCCTAGCTAGCTGATTGTAGTAGTTGATAAACGATCTAATGTAGTAGTTGATAAATCACATAACCCAATTGCTCGACTATCGGTAAACGGTATTGGTAAACGACTATTGGTGAACGTTTCCAGTAACCCAAGTAGTTGGCTAGAAAAGATTATTGTAAAATTAACGAACTCATAGCTAAAAGCTAAACTAGACTAAAAAGCTCAGAGCTAAGCTAAACTAGACTTCAAGAAGATCGTTGTAAACCTATTGCTTTACGTTAAGCCATTTTTTAAGCAACAAACTCATAGATAGATCTTAAGAAGAGAGCTGTAAACCTATTGCTTTACGTTGAGCCATTTTTTTTTAAACCTAATACTCGAGTCAACAAGTCAACGACAAATGCTTATAACTAAAATTGAAAGAGCTAGATTCAAAGAACTAAATTGAAAGCCCTAATTCAAAGAGAAACTATTTGAAACATTTTTCAATAACCTCATTAACGTTTTCCGTTGAAAAAGACTTTTGTTGAGAAAAGTCGCTTTTACGCTTCAATTTGTACGAGTCGATCAGGGTGAACTAAACAGTTTTTTTCATTTCTTTTTTACTTCTGCATCCAATCTCCATCTCATTTCCTCATTCTGTCACTCACTTTGTCGTTTTTTTGCGCTTTCTCCGCGTCGCTGCCTTTATCAACGATTTTTGGAGCCTCGGTGCTTGTCGCCGCTTTCACAAGAGTTGTTTTTGCTGGAATTTCGAGCTTTCATCAAAATTTTCTCATTTTTGGCTAATCTGGAAGGCACTACGTCTAGAAAATCAAAAAAATCTATATAATTTTTCGATTTTTCTTTTCGTCACCTATAAGCTCTTAAAGTCTCGTAATTTGTATAGGTCGTACTATTATGTAAATTGATTTTCTGTAGAGATTTGGGTGATCTGGAAGTCACTACATCAATCGAAATCAAAAAAATCGAGAAATTTTATAGTTTACTAAAAATTCTACTTTGTACAGCTTTGTACAGCTTTTCAATATGTAAAAATTCGAGAATTGAACAATTGACAGATTTATATTTCGTTTAAAACTATAATACCTTTCCCCGATCGCCTCAGGAAACAATAGAGCACGGCTCCCACCGACAAACAAATCAGCAGCGTACCGAAAACCGAACCGAACACCACGCCCGCTAGCTCACCTTGGCTGAAAATTGTTTCCCAATTGACTACGAGGTTTTAAGATTTCACGGCTCGTCAAGCTGGAACGCACACAACATTTTGAAGCAGCTATTTTTTGTAATTTCAAATTTTTTTAATTTCGCGAAAATCTCGAACTTTCTGCTCGAAACGGAAAAATTTTTTTGTACTTTTTTTAGAATATTTTAAATGCAAAATTTTTGCAAGCTGGAATGCACGACACATTTTGAAAAGGTTATTTCATAGTGTTTCCAAGAAAAAAAACCCCACCTCAAGCAAGTGTCAGCCATCGCTTTCGCTGTACA